GGTTAAGATGGACCAACACAGTGCTGGTAGAGGTATCAGTTTCCCACGGTCCTTACATGGGCGGCATTGCAAGCATTCTTGCAATGCAAACGATGGCTGCTCAACAACGGCTGTCTTCCTTCCAGTCTTCAGTATCAGAGAAAGTGCAAGCCAAGGCAGTTTTATGGGGTCAAGATCAAATTGTACTCTCCAATTTGTCACGTATCTCACCTGGCCTGCCTCATTTGTTTACACACCTGTCTGTTCTCTGTGGATATTTAAATTTGAGAACTATCAGCGGTTTGATGACAACCCTGCACACAATGTATATATATGTATATGACTTGACTGCTTACTCACCAAACTTTCAAGAATCCCATTGACTGTTTTCTGACTTTACCACCCTCCAGGCCTGGCCCCACCTACGTTTCTAGTCTTATCTCTTGCTCTTCCACCCACCAGGCTGGGCTTCATCCTGGCTGAACTTCATTCTTCTCCATGGATACACCCAACTTTATCACATCTCTGAGCCTTTTGCTTGCACGTCGCCTCCTCTGCCTGAATGCCACCTACCCCATTCTTTACCTCTCTAAATCGTTCATACTTTTCAAGGTCTAGCTTAGAAGTCCCTTCCTGAGGCCTCCCTTCAAACTGGAGGATACCTCTTGGCCACTTCTGAGCTCCCATTGTATCCTGTCAATTCTTAAAGCACGTACCACCTCCTACCACACTAGAGCATAGTTATCTAGGGAATTTCCCAACTTGACTGAGAACTATTAGGCAGAATTCATGTCACATGCAGCACCTTTGATTTCCCATAGCACCTAGAACATATTAATGAGTAATGTACATGAATACAGAGCATGAGTAATAAACAGAGTGAGCACAGTTCTGGAGATTCTGAGGCATGAACCGTAAGAATGGACCCCAGATATGCAAGAGAACAGAGCTACTCAAGGGAACATTTATGGTGGTGTGGAAGTCAATTACCTTAAGCTAGAGACTCAATGGAGGGCATGTAGGTAAGGATAAGAAGGGAGAAAGAAATAGGTCCTTGAGCTGTGGGAGAGAACTGCAGATTGCCCACCCAGCTGAAGGGAAGGAAGGGCAAGATAGGGCAGCACATAAACTCCCCACCTTCCCCTGAAATCCCCAAGCATGGAAGACCCAAGCACGTTGCAAAGTCCTTGCTTTGCTTTGCAGATGGCTTCACGGTGGTGGGAAGAGGGAGCAGCTAGAGAAGCAGGGTGGAGAAGCCATACTGATCACAAAGTGATGCTGAATTTGTAAGAACTCAAGACCATGCTCTAATGGGGTAATTTCCTCAGGGGACTGGGAAGCAAAACTGCACTTTTACAGTAACTAGGTAGGGTTTTTTTTTCCTCTGAAAGAAATAACTCTCATTTTGAACCAGAAAATGCAGTGGGTCTTGGGATCAGGATGAGGTGAGACAGGAGTCTCAGGAGCCGGGACACTGAGATTGCAGGGAACGGTAGTTCCAGGTAGAATCGGTGGCCATGTGTGCAAACTCGCCTGGATGTAGCACTCCAACACTGTGAAGGTACCTTGAGAAAGAGGCTATGTGTGCATGTGGCACTTAAAGGTAGAGCTCTGGAGCCAGAGCCCCCACAATGGATATGACCACAGCTGAGCATAACCCCTAGAGGGGAAGCCTTATCTTCCCCTCTGCCTCTGGAGAAAATACTGTCAGGCTATGGTGACAGAACATGTCTTGAGAGCCCAAGTCCTTTCTTCAGTGATCAAGGTCCTCTGGATTTCCAGAGCAGCATATTTCGGTGAAAGTGATGTCGAGGTCACTATGATGTTTTTGGTAATGGATTAGAAGAGCCCAGAGCTGCTGACCTACCAAGTACGGATCTTCCCTGACTCATGATGGGGCGACATACTGAGAGACCCATGGTAAGTCAAAGATACTGTTAAGTCAAAATGCGTTTCATACACTTAACCTACCGAACATCATACCTTAGCCTAACCCACCTTAAATATGCTCAGACACTTACATTAGCTACTGTTGCACAATTCATCTAACGCAAAGCCTATTGTATAATTAACATTGAATATCTCATATAACATATTGAATACCACTGAAAGTGAAGAACAGAACGATGGTCTGGGTACAGAACGATTGTACGTGTGTCAGTGTGGTTGCTTACCTGGTGCGGTGTGTCTGACCGGAAGCTACAGCTTGATACCCCTGTCCAGCATCACGGGACAGAATGGTACCACAGATCGTAGCCTGGGAAAAGGTCCAAATTTGAAATTTGAAGTATGGTCTTGACTGGATGTATATCACTTTTGTGCCATCGTTGCTGAAAAATCAGAAGTCGAGTCATCCTAAGTTGGGTACCATCTCTATTGGACTTTGCAGACTCTACAGTGGACGATGGCAAAGGAGAGGAGGCTCAGAATGGGTTAATGGATGAGTTTTCTCCTGTTGCTATAATGGATTTACTATGATGTTGGTAGCTGAAAACACAAAGTTACTCACTTACAATTCTGGAGGTCAGAAGTCCTAAATGAGACTCACTGGACTAGAATCAAAGTGTCAGCAGAGCTGTTGTCTTTCTGGAGGCCCTAGAAGAGAATCCATTTCCTTGCCTTGCCAGTTTCTAGGGGCCACCTGTATTCCTAGGCTCATAGACCCTTCTTCCATCCTCAAAGCCAGTGACATAGCATCTTTAAACCTCTTCTGCCTCTCTCTTCCACATTTAAAAGAGCTTTGTAATTACATTGGGTTTATCTGGATAATCTAGTGTAAAGTCCTCATTTTAAAATCTGCTATTTAACAAGCTTAATTCCATGTGCAACCTTAATTCCTCCTTGCCATATAATATTACTTATTTACATGTAACATAACATACCCCCCGTACTCCAGGGATTAGGATGTGCACATCTGGGGGGCCTTATTCTGCCTATAGCAGTTAGCATAGAAAGACTGTCTGCCCTAGAAACATGGAGAAGGATTCTTATCCTTGTTTTCCTTCTGTCATTCTCATTGGGCAGAAAGATATTTTAATCCAAAAAAGAAGAATCAACACTGGTTATAATCAAAGCTCAAGGAAGGTGAAGAGGCATCTATACTGGAATAGAATTCACTGCAAGATACTGAGGATTGAGGAATGAGATTCCCACATTGCTCAGGGATAGTCTTGAGCTATGCGGTGTGTCTGCACAAAATCAAGGCCCCCTCCGGCATGTGGGTCAGGGGACGCTGCTACACACAGCAGGGGCCCCTGGGCATTGTCTCTCAGCGCAGTGTCAGCAGGACCCTCAGAACTCCCCAAGGGGATTGTTCCTTGCCTTAGATGGATTCAAAACAGAGGCTGGATGACCGCATGTCTTAGAGGTGCAGTAGGTGATTCTAGCAATGGACAGGCAGAAGGAGCATTTTATTTAACATTTTTTTCCCATCCTGAGACACTCTGTTTCCAGAGATGGGAAGTACCATTATGTGGCTTCTACTTGTGCTCAACATTGTGTTCGGTCCTTTTTATACCCAATTTAATTCAACCTTCAAAACTACCCTATCAAAGTAATATTATTATCCTTTATTTTCAGAGGACGAAATTGAAACTCAGAGGTTAATTGTCCATTGTCATCCACCTATTAAGTAGCTTAGTCAGAATTTAAACGTGGGAGTCTATGGCTCTCTGATTCTTCTGGGACCACAGGGGATGGAATGGAAAGCTAACCACCCCCCAAGTCCAGGGTGATCAGACAGCACGGTGACCAGTGTCCATATCAATACAGTCAAGGCACTTGTGGGAGGAAGCTCGCCTGAGAGAATACGGAACCATAGCTGTGGGCACTATTGACTGGCCACTGCTCATGGCCATGTCTTATGGGTAAGATTGCAAACCTTGCGAGAGCCGGCTCTGGTGGACCAGAGCCTCACTTCGCTCCTTCCCTTGTGCTGTCATCATAAATTCACAATGTCCTGAAGAAAAGGAAGATGCTCACAGAAACACGGTCCCTGACCGAATAGCCCTCTCTGAATTAAAGGATGTGACTCAGGAGTATGTTTATCTTGCCTCTTCACCTACAACACCGAAACTCAGGTCTCGATGGTGACTCTGTGGGCTCATGATCAGCCCCCAGATTGCTTGCATGGAGCCACTGACAGACTGCAGCAAGTTCCAAGCAGCTGACAACCTAGGAGGCATGATCTTTGACTCATCCATCCATTACGCAACTAATAGGCACTCTGGAGCTTGGGTGTTCGCCGTGTGTCACCACACACCAGAGCCACACCTCTCCATTGCTGGAATAGCTTGCCTGGCTGGCTCCTGAAGCACTGGAAGATGTTTGTTGACTTGGAAGAATCAGTGCCGTTTCCATTACATAATGAGCTATACCAAGACTGATATTCTTACTTGCCTGTAATTCCTCAGTGTGAGAATTTGGTTGTGGCCTGGTATGTTCTGGGCAATTATTATGAATTTTTCTGGAACCACACCTGTTGACATGACTTGTGCTCACACCTAGGATTAAAGTCTACTTATTATCAGAGGACAAATATCTATCCTTACAATGAACACAGCTACAAGTGCAGTCAGAGACTCAAATCTCATTCTCTTAGGATTGCCAAGGCACAACTAATTTTTGGCTTTGCTGTTTTCCTGTCTGAATTATTCTCTTCCTCCCCCAGACCCCTGCCCAGTCTTTCCATATTAGTAAATTTACCACAGAATCATAAAAATTGACACTGCAGATAAGGAAATACATACAGCACAGGAAGTCTCATCTACATAAACTACATAAAACAGCAAGTGACATGGTCTTTCCGCCCAATTACCGTGTCCCTTTAAATGAAGAGCTGTTGTATATGAGGTAGGAACCTTGGGAAAGAAATTGGTAAAAGACAGTGAGTATCTTTATTTTTCTAGGAGACTCTAATATCGCCTTGGAATTCACCAGACTCAGAACTCTATGAATATGGCAAAATGAAGTGTTGAGAATAACTGAAGGATGCTGTAGAACACATGGAGTTATAGCCTGTGGCGGGTTCTGACTCTCAGCTCCAGCTCCTCTTCAGATGTTTCGGTAATGACCCTGAAGCAGAGGGGCAAGTTGGGTCTCATTCTCTGTAGGCAGCCCATGTCTCTACATCTCACACAGTGTGCCCTGTGCTGGGAGGTCTACCTCTTTCTACAGGATGCAATTGTCCCTTTCTGCACACACAGTCTAGGAAGAGCTGAGTGAGGCTGGCGCTCTAAATTTCAAACCCAGGGGCTCTGAATATGCATTCTGCTGGACCCTTCTCTTCTAGTGGCTGTTTTCGTTAGAGATTGTCGTGACAAAAAAGAATTAAGGTTCTCTGGCTAGAGGAGTTCCTTCCTGCTAGAGCTCAGAATGGAAAATAACTTCTCCATTTGCACGGTGCTCTGGCATTTCCTGTACAATAGTTCTAAACGTCTCTATGGCAGTAGTTACTTGAGATGCTGCTCTTTAATCATTTTTTGCCCCATATCTCCAGTTACATGGCCACAACCCTCTCATTCTCTGTCACTTTTCAGAAAGGCAGAATAGTTGGTGAATAGTTTGAGTTCTTCAGATCGAATCAGTAAGGGATATAGCGAGACGCTATGTCATTCTGTTGGAAAAACGAGAGAAAGGTTTGATGGAGGCAGATGTCACCTACCTGTATCCGTTCCCAGTACAGACTAGCTGTTAGTTACAACACTGGTCCTCCCCTATCACAGGCTGCAGAGGATTCTAAACTGCTTCTTCCTCATCAGAGCCATCCTTAAGGAAAGAGATTTCAATGAAAGTTTGCTACGTGTATGAGTGTATCTGTGCAATGAATTCCTAGAAAGTGAACTGTTAGGTCAAAAGACGTGATTTGTAATTTTCACACTGAAACTTATACCAACTTAAACTTCCACCAGCAACTTACGAGGGTTCTTGTTTTCCTGTAACTTTGTAAATAAAATGGACTTTCAAGCATTGCCTATTTATAGATAAGAAAAAAAATACAGTTTGCACCTAACTGAAAAAAAAAAACATGCTTTTGTCACCAAGATTGTCTAGGAAAAGGAGACTTGGATTCTGCAGATTCTTCCTTGGGGTTACCATGTCACCCCAGGGGCCTGTGGAGAGAAGGGGAGAGAAGAGAGGCAGGAGCAGAAAAGGGGAGAAGAGGGTGGGAAGCAGTGTAGAGTAGGTTAGAGCAAATCAGAGCAAAGCTGGAGATTATAGCTCCTGGCTCATCAGGTGTGTTCCCGCTCTCTCCCCATTTGACTTGTCTCCCTCCACACAGCACATACATTTCTGCCCACCTGCTCTACTTCCAACGAGCAGGAAGTTTCGCTCTGGGCACTTCTTCATCATCTTGACTGCTCACACCTTCTCTGACCTCAGGACAGACACGAAGCTTGGATGCTCAAGAAGTCCCTGCTTAGAGTGCCAGGAACACAAAAAAAGGAGTTGTTTAGGCTATGCAGGGAGGTCTCTATAGCCACATCCCTGGTGGTTTGAGATGGAGGAAATGACCACAATGCATTCTGGGCTAATCAAGAAGATCTCAGATCTAATGACCACCAGGGAATAAAACTGTTGGATCAAAATGTTTAATACTAATGTGTATGGTTTGTACAGGTGAACTTGCCAATAGAAAAGCTCTTTGTTAGATTGTTTGGGTTGTGAGGTACAAAGAGGCTTGTCCAGATCACCATGAGTGTTGGTGGCTTATGAAGCTATGTGCTTTAAGGAAGATGGTGTCTTGGCCGTGAAACTAGGTCTCTGGTGAACCTCTAAACAGCTCAGTAAATAACCTCCCCAGGGCCTAGAACTTAGGATGGTAATTGGAAGGTAGCACATGATCCAACATGGGTCTGGCAACTGCATGATCTCTGCCCCTCTCAGCAGCAGAGGCGCAGAGCTCCTGATTCTAGAGCTTCAGTGTCACTGGGATCCAGCTCCTCCATAGTTTCTCCTACTGTCCACATCTCCACTTATGCATTGCTCTTTACTCTCCACCTGACCTCACACTCACTCAGAGCTTCATCTCATGTCTTCTTACTGCCTGTTCTCCGTGCCTTTTGACCCTCCTATCAACTGCCCAATGTCCAAAGCCTCCTATTCAAAGATCTTCAAAAGACAGAATCTGATTGGTTCAATTAGTCACTGGACTCCCTACTGTCCAGATTATAGGCCAGCATTTAGGTTGGCTATCCTTGCTTCAGATTTCTATTTAGTTATGGCCCAGCTGGAGGAGCCAGCAGTGTCAGCACGGGACCCAAGGTGAGGAAGCCTTAGAAGGGAGTTGAGTATGCGGCTGAGGTCATTAGACTCCTTTAGGCCAACCAGACGACATGTCTGGGCTCACATACCAGCCTCCCTACTTCCCAGGTGACCCTGACAGACAAGCTTGTCAGATACGCAGGCGTTTGTTGCACACAGTCTCTAAGGTTCTCTCTAGCCCTGACAATCCTTTGGTGATCCCATCAGGCCCCTCCTATCTGATTGTCCCATCTATCTACTCTTAGATAAGACAGCAAAGATCATCATCTCTCGTTCCTCATCGGAATGGATTACATTCGTGCATCAGCTGATGGTCCCTGGTAGCCTCAGAACGTTGGCCTGTGGGAGGCACAGTGTGGAGAAAAAGAAACGCTTGTTCCTCTCTCCTTACCTTGTCATGGAGAAGAGGAGAGGGGTGGGCAGACACATGCAGCCCCTCCACCCTTCACGCAGTGCCCTCCAGCAGAGGAAGACGGACTAACTGGAATAATGAGAATGGGAAAGTTCTCTTCTGGAGCAGCCTACTTTCTGCAAACTCAGGTTCTCTGCTGCTTCATGCAGGGAACTCACCGGAACATGTTCTATCCCTCAGACAGGGAAGACTGAGTTTGGGGAATAAATAGTAGGAAGTCTGGGGAGGTGAAGCCATGGTCTCCTCTATCAGCCATAAAGTTAATGTTTTTATCTTAGTCTGTGTAACTTCTATGAATAATCAGTTATGAATAATCCTATGAACAATCTCAGTTACCTTTCAAGTTGGCTTATGAGGGAGGAGTATGGTTAATGAACACCACCTTATTTCCCAATACATTGCCATCCCTGAGCCTGGATGCTTGAGAAAGCACGCCACACCAGCTTAGAGTACAGAATAGGGTAATTTGTCTTAAAGGTCCCCAAACAACCTGAGAAAAGATACTGGTCTCCTACTCGGGACTCCCAGGCCCATGACTTTATCCAGAAGGATGCTCCTTCCTCATTTCCCCCTGAAGCTCAATGCAGTGGAAAATACACAGGTTTTAGAGTCAGATGATTTGAGCTCAAAACTCAGTTCTGCTGGCTACTGGTTGTGTAACTGTGTAGAACTGTGTATGTGGGAGTCTGCCTCTGAGTCTCAGTTTCTCCATCTTTAAAATGGGTCTCATGCTACCTGCCTCCGAGGGTCCTTGGGAAGATTTCATTCAGTAAGAAAACAAATGGGAACCATGTCGGTAAATGTTACAGATGGGAGCGGTTGCCATCAACCCCGCCAAGAACAAGGGCACTATGCTCTTTGACCACCCACCTCCCTCTGCCTTTCGTATTAGGTTCCAGTGGTCCTGGGCTTGATGTGAAAAAGCATTGCTAAGTTTTCCATGAGCCCCTTGATATGGAGCATAAGGAGAACTGGGGCCTCAGCCAGGCCTCCTGGGGCCGACTTAGCCTGGCAGGTGGGAATTCTGAAAACTGAGGAATTCACCTGGGAGACTCTCTAGTTAGGCTTATCATCTGTAAAATGAATATAATCATTCCAACCTCATATGGTTGTTGGAAGGAATACATAGGCTCCTGGATCTGGCACATGATTGATTAGAGGGTCGAAGGTTACTTCTCTTCTTTCCATTCCACACTGAGTAAGAGGTTATTCCTCAGAAATGTCTCTTATAGAAGTAACTTTGCTGAAGTGCAATTTTTGGACTTCACAGCAGGGAAGTTCAGGGAATGCCAAGGTCAAGCTCGAATCCTCATCAAGAAGACACAGTCATGTGACATCTAGACAGTTTTGAGTTTGATTATTCTTTCAGTTATATACCAGAAAAATGATCTGTAATGAATTTTAATATATTAAAAATTGTCATTAGAAAGCCAGATGAGTTCTTCACTAACAGTCAAACCAGGAATGAGACTGTTATCCACGTCTACAATCCCTGACCTAGAACACTGATCTAGTCTAAACCTCAGCTTCCTACCTCACACTTTCTAGACTTGCCTTTATTCTTTCTTCTCACAAACCCTTCAACCCTTTCAAATGGAACTAGTATCTGATCGATCAGTCAGTCACCAAGTGCAAGCAACAGAAACTGGATACTGGGTGATTTGCAGACTAATTGACAAGACCAGAGAGTCAGCCTCAGCCCTAGATTTCTAAGAGCCCCAAGCCATGCCACAGAACTGGCTTTACAAGAAAAACACCATAGTTGTTTTCCCTTAGCATGAACCAAATCTGTGGTTTCCCCTGCTACCACTTCTGCGTCAGAAATTAAATTTTATTGCAATTGCTACTGCTGTCAGTATCTGTGCCATCTCTTCACCAAGAACTCAGTCTTGAGGGCTCCAAAAACCAGATTCTTCTGCTACCTTACTGACGGAAAATATATGTGTGCCTGCAGCACTGTTTTCTTACATTGCTAACTTCCAAATTGGTGTCTCCATGGATAAGCCACATGGATGGAGTCTGGATTAAGTGTTTATGCCACAATTGACAGGAAAACTAGGAAACAGGGATTTTCTGGATTTTCCTTTGGGTATTGAGGGGGTTAGACTTAGAAGGCAGTAAGTTCCTAAAACACAGCAAGGTGCTCAAAAATTGCTGGGCAGCCAGAAAATGTGACAAATATCTACAATAGAGTCAGTCTTGTTTGGCCAACATTAACATGTGCTCTCCGTGCATACTTAAGCTTACCAATAAAAATTTTCCCAATTTTCCCACCTGAGATAATACAACCATCTCCCGAAATGAAAATCAGGCTTATTCTCTATCCCAAAAGGCAGCAACTCAAGGTCTCATCAGCTAGGACATCCAAATCCAAGGGACGCATTGTCTTCTCTAGTTCCATCTGGATTCTGTCTTTATATCCTGTAACCCAGGAATAATCTTGAAGTGATAACCATCACGACAACCCTCCATATAAGTTAGTAAGGGAACAGAAAAGAGGGAAAAAACAATTAGCTGTGACATAGCAAGGAAAAAACACAAGTACATATTATAGCTGTTCCCTGTTCAATGGATTAAATAGTCAGAGTTGAGATTTATATGTCTTCTTTCCTCTACTGTCCATCCCATGCTACCACTCCTTTGGCCTCAGCCTGGTGGCTGAATGATTCTGTGTGTGCTTTTTCATTTAAATGTCACTGGACACATAAGTACTGGGAGCTTGTGAAATAATAAAAAATATATATTATCTCTACCCCTGGTTCCTGGCACAGAGCTCCTAGAACCCTTGCAAATTCCTAAGCGATAAGAGCACTAGGAGGTGACTCCAGGTGGGCTTCAGGGTGATCTGGTCACCAGAAAGACTCACCCATAATTAGAAGCTTGGAATTTTCAGCCCCACCCCCCATCCTCCAGACAGGGGAGAGAGGTTGGAAACAGAGTTAATAATTGACCATGCTTACGTGAGGAAGCCTCCTCAAATCCTGACAGTATGGAGTCTGAAGAACTTCCAGGTTGGTGAACACATCCACATACCAGGAGGGTGACACACCACACCACGGGGACAGAAGCTCCTGCGCTTGGGACACTCCCAGACCTTGCCCTGTGTATCTCTTCATTTGTATCCTTTATTGTACCCTTTATTATATAATAAACCAGTAAGTAAGTGTTTTCCTGGGTCCTATGAGCTGTTCTAACAAATAATGGAATCTGAGAGGAGGTTGTAAGACCTCTGATTTATATCCCATCTGTCAGAAGCACAGGCAACCCCCTGGACTTGTGATTGGCATCTGGAGAGGGTGTGAGGGGCAGTCCAGTGGGACTGAGCCCTTAACCTTGGGACCTGATGCTATCTCCAGGTGGTAGTGTCAGGCATGAGTTAAATCATAGGATACCCAGCTGGTCTCACAAAGAATTGCTTAGAGTGGGGAAAAACTCCCACACATCTGGGGTCAGAAGTGTTGTGAATGGGATAGTAGTGTAAGAATAAAGGAGAAACAGGAGGAGAAACTAGGTTCTTTCCTAACAGAGATAGAAGGCATATCCCGGGTTTCAGACACACCTGTTCCCTGGCTCCATTGTGTAACAGCACCCCTATTTGCCCCTGATAATCAAGGCAAATCATTCTAGTCAACACAATAACCCCCTTTACACCTGTCGTTCAAGTGCTATGAGGAGCCCCAAATGGCCAAGGGACTGTTTCAGCTTTTACTTCAGCATCATCATTTTTGTTTGGTGGAAACATTCCTTGAATGGTTATTAAGACTTCTAAACTAGCAGAGCCCATGTTGTGGAAATGAGAATCAGGATTTTCCTAAGTGGGTCATTAGATGAATAGTGAAAGATGCTACACCCACTACTTCATTTTGTTCTTGTTCTGGGTCTGCTCCTTCCTGGAAGCCTTTTAGGTCACACAGTAAAAGGGGCAAAACAGCATGCTCAAGCGCAGTGCATATTATCTCCCAAATCTTAAGAGGTCTGCCAGGCAGTGTGCTTCTTTCTTAACGGTAGAAGTTACAAGGTGTCCCTACCATCTTTTGAAGGTGATATGCAAACCCCTGGACTTTATGAAGGATTTATACTTACTGAGCTGCCAGGCCCCTCTATTTTCACGGGATACATCTCTTACTTTAACACGTGTATCTTACCTAAGGTATCTAAAGCACCTGCTGCATCCTGGCCTCCAAGTCCTGTTAGGCTGATGTCATCATTATAATGGGCTAGCATCATGTCCTGTGGAATGGGGAGAAAGTCAAGCCTGAACTAAATTGTGGCAGAGAGGCAGGATGATGTAATCCCAAGGCAGGACAGTGAAGGTGGACGGCTCTGCTTGCCAGGTGAAAGCAAGTTGCAACTAATGCTTTCTCCTCAACTGAATGGGCAAACATAGTTGCCACAGCCATACTTGCATGCCAGTTGTTAGAAATTGTGCTGATTTGCTCTGGTAAAGAGACCACATCTAGAACAGAAATACAATTTGGTCACTACTTACTTAAACCTGTAATAACCCTCTGTATTTCAGCTGCATAGGCAAAATAGGTATGTTAAAGAGGGTTATGAAGGAAACTATAACCCCTGCAACTTTCATATCTTTTCTAATTGCACACCTGCTTCTGAGATCCTTCTGGGAATGTGGCATTGCTTTTGGTTCACTCTCATGGTAGGGAGGGGAAGCTCTAGAGCTGTGCGGTCCAGTACCAGAGCCACTAGCCACGTATGGTTACTGAGCACTTGAAATGTGGTTAGTCTGTAATTAGATGTGATGTAAAAGTATAGATGTGGACCACATTCTGAAGACTTGATAGAAAAATAAGAATATTAATAAACTGTCTATTGATGTGTTGAAATGACATTATTTTGGATATTTTGGGTTAGATAAAATGTACTATTAAAACTAACTTCACTTGTTGCGTTTTACCCTTTTAAAATATGACCACTAGAAAATGTAAAATTAGATACATGGCTCCCATTATATTTCTATTGGACTGTGCTGCTTGAAGGCTTAATTTACTTTTCTTACCACAATAGTCCTCCTGATGGGGGTTAGGAAGCACACTTGGGAATTATGCCAATTGCTGAATTTACCTATTCTAGCTACACTCAACCACAAGCTGGGTTTGGGATCTCCCAGGGCCCAAGGTGAGGCTGATCAAAATTAAAGCGTTTATAATCTGATCCCCATAAGGCTGCCACCAACTAGTAATCCACCGTGG